ATCCACTAACACACACAGCCCTGCTTTACAGTTGATGGCTGGGGGAGGGATTAGTATTGTTTTTATTGGCAAGTATTGGGCAACAGACAACTAAGCACATAATAGTGATCATATATTTCTGTGTTTAGTAATATCAAATGGCTACATAATTTATTATGCTTCCATTTTAGATATTTTGAATTGCAACTATATCTTAGTGTTGAAAATATGGTATTCTATATTTTTTAAAAATAGAAATATCAACATATCATATATGCATCATATTCAATTTACATATGGTATTTGTGCATCATAAGTGTCTATATCTTTATGACCTAGCAACTTTCCCTCACTTCATCTGGTGTCATATCCCCATTTTAATCCTGCACGTTATCACTTGTAATTAAAAAAAAGATATATGTGAAATTCTAAACCAGTGTTTAACGATGGAATCCTAATACAAACTTTGGATAAGCTAAGTTATCCAGAGTTAGGCCTAGTTTTTTTTTGCTATCATACCCAATTCCTGAAACGTTTAGGTATATTGGGTTCATTGCCTGCTCAATTCACTCCAGACTAATCTGCTTAGGTGGGGTTCTCTTTGAGAGGGTTTCGCAAGCCTGAGTTTATATTCAGGAAAAAATGAATTGATTGTGGTCTATTGGAAAGTGACTTGTCCTTTCCTTGCTTACAAAGAGTTGTGGATTCAATTAGTCTAAAAAAAAACCATACATGCATGTGAAATCCTAAAATGGTGCTTCAAGAAAAGAGGAATCTCAATACCTACTATGTAACTAAGTGAATGTTTGGTTTATATCCTAACCTCAGTTAGAGTGAGTCAAACTGAAGTTAGGGAGTAAAGAAGTTAAAAAAATAATGTTTGAATTAACAAAATATCTCAACCATAGTTAGAGCTAAACGAGCATTTATTCAAAAGTTGATAGTTGTGGCTTTTTCTCTAACGTTGCATTGATTTGGCCATTGGAAGCATTGATTAGCTTTTAAATTTATGCATGTTTTCTCTCTCCTCTCATTTATCCAACCCATGAGCCAAGTTCCAGCTTTTCATTCCACTGTGCTTTCTTCTCCCGTGACCTTACAAGCTGATACTAAAGAACTAGATCGGAGCTCCACCTTCATTGCTTGTGTAAGCGGCAGCGTCCAAGCTCATCTTCACTGTGTTAAAGCAAGTGACCTCCAGTCGATCTCCAGCTTGTTGTTGTCTCTTCTTGTGTCCATCATCTCCCTGCTCGAAAGTGGTCTTTCTCCCTGTTGCCCATCGATTTCCAACGTCGACTAACAGATCTGCTCCTAATTGCCGAATCTACATCCTGTCGCTTGTCCTTGCCAAGTAAGCTTTTTCTTTTTTCTTCTTTCGTTGCCTTTCTTGTTGCCTTTTTCATTCATGGTCTTTGCTGTAGATCCCAGATCCCTGTTGCAGTCTCTTTTCGCATTTCTAGTCCATCTTCATCTCTCTTGCCTTTTTTGTTGCTTGTATTCTCTGGTCTGGTTTGTTGCATTCTCTGTATGGCATTTTTTGGTCTTCCACTAATTTGTGGTCTGCTACATTTTTTGATGTTGCGTTCTCTGGTCTATTGCATTTTCTGGTCCCTTGCATCATGCATGGAAGTTTCTTCCTTTTTTTAAATTACACCTTGGTAGAAGTTTCTGATCATCCTTGGTAGAAGGAGAAACTTATGGTTTTTGTTTATATTTTTTAGCCAGTTTTATTTTTTTTCTTGTTCTATGTTTTTGATGATCCTCAAGTTTGACATATTATTTGCATTGGAATGAAATGGAATGTGAACAAAACAAAACTAAAAAAAAAGTTTTATTAGCTTACCCTTATAAATAAAATTATATTTGTCATCTTTTATAGGTTTAAGGATTGATCAATAAATTCTTGGACCAAAACAAGGATTGATCAATAAACAAGAATAATTTTATATATTTGCATGGAACTTGAAATAAATTATGTTGGTGATTCTTCCTTTAGGTTGCAGAAACATCTCTCCCTTAATACACACGCCTAATGCTTGGTGATTCTTCCTTTTTTTCGTATGAAATATTCTAGAGAAAAAAATCTATTAAATTGATACATATATGCAGAGACATTTAATGATTTTGTATGTTTGTGATGGTCGGCTAGTTTATAGAATAATGAACAGCGACAAAAGAAAAGCTGTGTGGATTTCAATTTTAACAAAAATTTTCATTAAGGAATGCTTGGATCAAGTGTACAAGAAACAAAGGAAAGGAACTGCTTTCAACAAAAATGGATGGCAAGCAATAGTTGATGGGTTTGAGGCAAAAACAAGAAAAAGGTATGAGTGAAAGTAAATGAAGAATAAACTAGACAATATGAAGAAAGAATGGAACATATGGTACAAATTATTTTCTAGTGAAACTGACTTAGGATGGGACAGTGTCAAGAATACTGTCGATGCTCTGAATGAGTGGTGGGAGCGAAAAATCTTAGTATGAATTAGTTATTAAGTGTTTTTTAGATTAAAATTTAATTTAAAAATCTTAATTGTTGGTTACTTGAATGCTTGTAGGAAAATTTCCTTTATGAAAAATTTAGACATAAAGGGTTGAGGTTTGCAAGGGAATTAATCCTAATATTCAAGGATGTCCTGGAAACTAGGGAGACATTGTTTGTACCATTTGCTACTCAGACCCAAATAGAGGATGATGATGATAAGGATGTGTACCGTCCCATAATTGACCTTCAAGAAGGATTTGGTGATAATGAAGAGGAGCTAAATTTATCTAACACTGCAGCACCTACGAGGGTCATTGATGAGTTGTTGGGCTTGAATGTCACCATAAATATCGATGGAACTAGTGGTGATGGAAGTCAAGATAAGAGAAAGAGGGTTGGAGGAATTGGTGGGAGAAAAAAGAAAAAAGTCCCTGCCTCAATAAAAATAGTAAATGCGATGAGTGAAGTAGTTAGGAATAATAAAGCTAGAACAAAGACAGTGAACAAGATTTTGGCAAATGACATAGGAGTTTTTGAGTTTGTGGCTCACCTAAATGGACTCCTAGAAGTTTTTGGTGATAAAGATTTGCATTGAAAATGTGTCAATCTTGTTCTGTACAAGCCTATATGAGATGCTTATTGGCAACTTAAAGATCATCCCAATCACTTGGTTAGTTGGTTGAAATACTAAGTCTACCATCTACCAGATTTTATTTCAAAGAATACATCTGGATAAATTCTTGTATAGGCTTATGATAACTTGACTTGTGTTTGACTTGTAGTTGCTTTATTTTGACTTGTAATTTTTCATACTTATGATTACTTGGTTTGTAGTGAATATTTAACTCTTATCTAATGCTTATCTTATGTTTTATTTCTATGTTGTTAGATGATATTTATATACTATGTATTTTATATTATATACAAATGATATTTACATACTATTTTACCTCAGGTTGAAAAATCATGGAAGATTCAAATGAATGTATGTTAGGTTGGAATGTAGATGTGGCTCATCAACTACTTCCCTTATTACAACAAGATATAAATGAGGAAGAAGAAATATGTCAATTAGTTAGTGAATATGTGATGCCATATGTGTGTAAAGAGCCAAGGAGAACTAGCAAGCAAACAAGGTAAATGTGGGTCCGTGAGATTTTGCAAGGTCATCTTACTCATTGTTATGAAATATTTCGAATGGAAAAACATTTGTTTAAACAACTGTGCGCGACATTAGTTGATCGTGGTCTAAAAAAATCTAAAAAAATGAGACTTGAAGATGGAATGTTTTTAAATACAGTTGAACATGGAGTTGATAATAGGATGATGTAGGAATGATTTTAACATTCAGGGGAGATTGTCCATAGAAATTTTCATAAAGTATTAGCTGCCTGCCTTAACCTTTCGAAGGCAAACATAAAGCCACTTAATCCTTTGTTTCAACAATGTCATTCGAAAAATCAAAATGATCTACAATATTGGCTATTCTTTAAGGATGCTATAGGTGCAATTGATAGCACTCACGTGCCATGCGTGGTTAGTGTTGCTGATCAAATTAAATTCATTAGAAGAAATGATATGCAACATAGAATGTCATGGCTGTATGTGATTGGGATATGTGTTTTACTTTTGTCATTACGGGATGGGAAGGTACAGCTCATGATGCCCGAGTGTTTGATAATTCCATATCAACTCCTTCAATGCATTTTCCACATCCATCTTAAGGTATATTTTATTGAAGTCACTATAATTATTATCGCTTGATTTAATGTAGGTTAGATTTACAATACTTCGTTTTATTATTTGGTTGATTCTAGTTATCCAACGCTAAATGGATATCTTAGTCCATATTATTGCGATTGTTATCACCTTCCAGACTTCAGGTGAGTTGCAAGATTTGCAAACAATAATGAGGTTTTCAATTATTATCACTCAAGTTTGAGATGCACTATAGAAATAACTTTTGGAGTGTGGAAGAATAGGTTTACAATTATACAAAAAATGTCCAAATTTAAATATAAAACACAAGTTCAAATTGTTTGTGCAATAATAGCAATACATAACTTTACTAGGAGAAATTAAATTACTAATGAGTAGTTCATACAAGCTTTTCGTGATTGAATATTTAAGATATTTTATTTATTAGTTGTGATTTTAAGTTTAATATTTTTTACTTATTAGTTAATCAAAAAATATAAACATGTTTAATTTAGATTTAATATTTAAGATAAAAAATTTATGCTTATTTTTGTCATTAAACATCTCAATTGACTTTTAAATCAAATCATTCAAATGAATTTCAGTTTATCTAACTGATTTTAAAAAAAATATTTAAATATAAATCACGTTATATTCACTGATTTTTTTTTTAATCTCAATTTATCGACTTCAGTTAAATTCTAACGTTAATTATAAATTTTTTAATCTAAACACACTTTAAATTATTTGGGCTTAGGCCCTCGTTTGCACCGAGAAAAATAAGTTTCCAACATTAGCTGTCCTGATTCAATGATTCTGATCCTTACGATCACACACGCACGGCAACTCCCAACTAATGCGATAATACCAATTCTTGCTAATTAAGCCAAACGAAGCTGTTTTTTGTTAAAAAGCTGAGCTCTGGTTAGAGACTCGCTCCAGAAGCTTTAGATGGCGGGTGGATCGGAGTTTGATCCTGCGCTTGTCTTCTCTCATAAGTTTCCTGAGGTCTCTCTTATCTTATTCTTACCCACTTGAGTTTTGTGCCTTTTCTTTTGGTTGTACGATATGTGACCTTGTGTTAGGGTGGGGGGGGGGGGGGGGACACACACACAGCCTGATTGTAAGAAAATCACGTTCTTGTTCACTCCAGCCTATTAAAAATTTAAAATAGAAATTTTGATGGCTATTGTCTGAAATATTCTGTATGCGGAATTTCTTTTACTTTTGGTTTTGGGTTTTCCTTCGTGCCTAATTCTAAATTTTTATTCGCATTTTGATTCTGCGAACGGATTGGGCCACAGACGACATACTCCTATACTGAAAGGTAAACCTTGTGTAAGTTAAATTCTGCATATTAATTTGTTGAAATTATTTTCACTTCACGTGTTTAATGCGCTAGAAAACGTAAACCTATTTGAAGTGGATGTTTGCTTTGCATACGTTGATCAGAGATGCAGCACTTTATGCGTTAGGCGTCGGAACATGTGCTTGGGATGCCGTGGATGCCGATGAGCTTAAATTTGTTTACCATGAAGATGGTCAGAAGTATATCAAGGTATTGTTAAATTATAAGGTAATCCTGATGAATATTCAAGTTATCATATATTTCCACCTATAACATTTGCAGGTATGGTGAACAATTCATTTCTATTTGGGCAGTCTCAGTTGCCAAGGAAAGACTAGCATCATTTCAAATTTATGGACTCCACTTAACTCTGCATCATTTCCTCCTTCCCAGGTCTTGCCTACTTTTGCTGCTCTTTTTTCACTTGGAACAGTGCCAAGTGCTGGTCTCCCTGGCCTGCAGTGAGTTCCTATTTTTAATATGCTGCTGCTACATTTTGAATGTGTAATCCCTTCTCAATTGTATACTCCATTAATCACTGCTATTGCTCACCCCTTCTAGTTTACTGACAGGATAACTTTATTTCTGACAGATATGATCCACGCCTTCTGCTGCACGGACAACAATACATAGAATTGTACAAGCCACTTCCTTCCAGCGGTCATGTAAAGCTTCTAATGAGAAGTTGTATTTATACATTTAGTTGTATATGCCAACCTTGTGGTTTCTTGTGACTACCAACTATGTTTGGTATTTTACTAATTGGTATCTGATTATTTATAAAATTAAATCCGCCTAATTTTGCCCCCTTCAAAACGAACCTATAATTTGATCATCTAATGCAGTATTCCATGATTTTTCTTTTCTCCATGCAAAGATTGGTTTTTAAATACGTTCTCTATCTTGTTTTATTTAGATAGAATCGTGATATTGTTTAATTGTTGCAGATACTCAATAAACCCAGTCTTGCTGGACTACATGATAAAGGTTAAATTGCAAAAGATAGGCTTTTTTATACATTTGTTTCTTGTGAAATTTCAGACCTTCATAAAACGTATATTCTATGCTAAAGATAATGTAACTACTTTTTACTCTTTTATAATTTCTTCATAAAAATTAAAAAAAGAAAACAATCCTATGGCTCCATTTTCAGGCAAAGCAGCAATATTGGAGATTGAAACAAAAAGTTATGATAAAGAGTCTGGTGATTTATTATGCATGAACAGGTAAAATATTCTAAAATATCTAACTTGATGTTTCTTGCTATCATGCTCAATTAGCATATTGCTTGCAGGATGACTGCTTTCCTACGTGGTGCTGGGGGCTTCTCAAAGTCATCTAACCTATTTTCTTACTCAAATTACCCAGCCAACCAGGTTTCAGTCGTGAAATTTCCAGAAAGTCAACCTTTTTCAGTATTTGAAGATCGTGCCAGCCCATCTCAGGCAAGTAAAGTCATTCTTTTCATATTGTTTGAGTTGAATTGGCTTGTTCTTTACCCCCATTTTTGGCTACAACCTTCCTTCGCCGATTGTGCTCTTTTGTCCTCTTTATGACATATTTTGATTGAAACTATGATTAATATCTACTCGAATTTTGGACAAACATGCATCCTATTAAGTAATCATATTACATTATCATGTGATCTGGTGCTCCCACTACGGTATTTATGCATTTTGTTCGTCCAGCCTCCATTATCTTGACAGCTTTTTTCACTATTTATGTAGCTTAGGGTGCATTTGATAAGCTGAAAGTTCAGTGCTGAAAATTGCCAGGGTAGATTTATGTTTTGTATCCTTTTTTCCCAAAAAGTGACTTGCTATGGTTAAATATCAAAGTTGTCAGGCTTCATCCCTAATAGTATGGAAAACAGGTGGGGCATTGCAAAGAGTCATTTTTCTTTGGGCAACTTTAAAAGAATTCATTGAATAAAGTGGCAATGTGCTTTAAGCGATGACATCATGCCTATCACTGGGCTGTTCACGTCTTTACCTTAACCACTGCTTCTTTGATCTAATCGATACATTTACATACTAGGTGTTATCCATCAATGTCAATTTCTACAAGTTAATTATATAAGTTAATATAACTTCTTAAGCTTCTCTATTTTGCTACCTGCTTTCTGCAGGCATTGCTATATAGACTATGTGGTGATTACAATCCGCTGCATTCAGATCCCAAAATTGCAAAGGTTGCGGGGTCAGCACTGCCATCCTGTTCTCTGAATGCGTGTGAAATATTAAATACTAGAAATTCCAATTAAACTGTTGGTGGGCTTGTTGAATTTGGCGAATGGGATATTTGATATTTCCTTTCTTTCGCCAGGGAGTATGATTGGGCAATCTTTGCAAACGTAGTGACATCTTATTTTAGCCGGATAGAGCTCATCTTTATCTGAAGCCAGGAAAGAGGAATGTTCATATGGAAGTTTATTAAACTGATGGGATCTTTTTAAGATATAACAAATGAGGGTGACATAGCAAATTAGCATTGTATGACATGCACATGCAGCTGTTTCTTACTATGTTTTTTCTTGTTACCAAAGATTCTCACAGCCAATATTGCATGGGCTGTGCACGCTGGGCTTTGCTGTTAGGGCAATCGTCAAATGCATATGTAGAGGAGATTCGGAGAGGATAAAAAGCATAGCAGGCCGTTTTCTTCTGCATGTGTACCCTGGTGAAACTTTATTTACTGAAATGTGGCTTGAAGGCTTGAGGTAGGCTCAGTAATTTCCACATTAATATGGGGTTATTATCTCCTTACCATTTCCTTTTCATTTTTAGTAACTAAAGGCAATAGTTATGTACGTCATGTGACTCATGTCAATCTGGAGGTAGATCTGAGGTGGTGTTCGAAAACGGAAATTGCAGGGTTATATATCGGACAAAGGTGAAAGAGCGGAAGCGTACAGTCCTTTCTGGCTATGTTGATCTTAATGGTTTGACTTCGTTGCTGTAAAGGACTTTTATTGCGTGCGAGGAAGGCGCTCGTAATAATTTATTCTCAAGGCTTGCCATTGACAGTCGAAGATGTATCCAACATTTCAATTATCAAGAAGGCCTCGCTATGACTATCACCGACAACGGCAAAAATGGACCGAGCTAGTGATGACCCCGGTATATCCAGCTTTCGAGTGATTTTATTCTTCTTAGTCAAAGAAACTTAATTGGAATCAATGTTAAGAAAATTGACTGGATATTGAACTACTTGAAACATTGGTTCATGATTCCAGAGCCGGGATCCGATCATGAATAAATGGATGTACTTTAAATAGTATATGATTGCAATAAAAAGAAATAATTATATATAATAATGAAAATGAATGTTCAACTTTCAAAAATTGTGTGTACACATGTAGAGTTGGGAAAACGGGCTGGCCCGATCCTATGGGGCCGGCCCTTGAATGGCTCGGGCCTAAAAGGGTTAGCTCGTTTAAGCTCGAGTTCCTTTTGAGACGCTCAATCCTGAAGCCTAGCCCTAAGCATAATGAGCTTAAGGTTGGCCCTGCGGGCTTTGAGCCCTTTTGTCTTTTTTTTTTCTCCTTAAATTAAAATTGGTTCGATCATTCCTTTATGACATAAGCTAAATAACAATAAGCAATAAATAATCAAACTAGCCACAATAAACAAGTAGTAATAAGCTTAACAAGTAGCAATATCCAAAGAAACAAAACATCTAAATGAGCTAGATGTTATAAACACAATTTAAATGAAAATGATAGCATGCAATGAAGTCAAGATGAGCTAAATCTATCTAATATCCACCATCAAGGTTCTTGAAAATATTTAAATAAATACACTTAAATACTCAATAACTCAAATATTGGTAGTATCATCATTATCTTCTTCCTCACTATCATCAAGCTCAACAAAATTTGATTGTGATCCACTTATAGCTGGCTTATCAAGGGCAAAAATATCAAGACCTTCTTCTTCTTGTTCACCTTCATTATCTGCAACAAATAATAAACAAAAATACTCACACAATTATAGTTATTATTTCTCATGTTGTTTGCAATTTGTATGGTAAAAAATAAAATAAATATAAATTAAAATTATCATTGTACACAAAACCATGTAACCAATTACGAACGCAAATGATAGCCTGAATATTAGTTGGAAGAATGGAACTTCGATACTTTGTTAGGACGCGCGAACCGATGCTAAAAGTTGACTCACTTGCTACTGTAGTGATCGGAATGCTAAGAATATCAGCCGCCATCCTTGAAAGAATTGGATATTGATGTTGATTACTCTTCCACCAATTTAAGACATCCAATTCTTTCCAACTATCAGGCTTCAATATTGGTTCCTCTAAATAATTTTCAAGTTCAGACTTATCCAAGAAAAAATGGTCCATAATTGCATAAATATCTTGATAATCCTGCATCATCTATTTATAAAGGATTAAAAAAATATCAAACAAATACTAGATTAATGAAAAAGGTGACAGAATTTAAAAAGACAAGGAATTTAAAACTTACATCAAAGGCATCATCAAAAAAGGTTGACGTTGAAACAGTTGAAGCCAAGGAAGAATGATGAGTTGTGACTGTTGAAGCTTTATAACTTAATCCACTTGCAGCCCCATCAACTCCAAGATTGGTAGATGTCCCCATACTTGAATATTCATTAAACATGAATATTAACTTGCTCTTAATATTAGCAACCTTCTCATGGTAAGTGATAGGGTCAATCTTCGTATAGCAATATTGTATTATATTAAACTTTCATCTTGGATCAAAAACTATTGCAAGTACAAGAATGACACTGTACTCATTCCAATACCTGTCAAACTTTTGTTTTATTTTCCTAGCCATCTCTTGAATCACAGGATCAGGGCTCTTCATATTTGCATCAAGCAACATCTCAATTTTGAAAATTTGCATAAAATAAGAGTTTGACGTAGGATATGATGTCCCAAAAATCAACCTTGTAATCTTCTCAAATGGCCTCAAGAAGCTGCACATTGCATATGCTCTAGCCCACTCATCATTTATGAGACCAAATTTGTAATTTGTATCATTGACAGCCATGTGTGCAAAAGCACGAAAATATTTAATCCACTTTCAAGCATTGTGTAAGTGGAATTCCATCTAGTGGGCACATGTAGCCGCAAGCCCATTAAGGTGTCAATGCTACCAACTTGCTCAACACATTGTTTAAAAAGAATTGACCTTGCCTCTGATGCTTTCACAAATTTAATACTTTCTCAAATCTTATGTAAAGCAAAACTTGTAACTTTCAAACCCTTCTGAACTATCAAGTTTAGGATATGAGCAGAACACCTCACATGGAAAAATTCTTCATTACTCACTAATTTGAAATCATCTTGCAAACTCAACCTCTCTTTCAATATGTCCTACATATTATCATTTGCAGATGCATTGTTTAAAGTAATGGAGAATATTCTAGTCTCAATCCCCCAATCAGTCAAACATTCATACACTTTTCTAGCTAGCTCTATCCCAGAATATGGAGGTTCCATTTTATAAAATGAAAGTATTTTACTACATAATTTCCACCTTTCATCCACAAAATGAGCTGTCAAACAAATATACCCTTCAAAACTCACAGAAGTCCAACAATCAGATGTCAAACAAATTTTACTATTACTTCTCTTCAACTTTTGTTTCAAATTGTCTTTTTGTCGAAGGAAGAATTTCATAACATCAACGACAACAGTTTTTTTAGTAAAAAGCCTAACATCAGGATTTAATGTCAAAAGTAGTTCTTTGATCCACTTGTATTCAATAAAGGAATAAGGAAGATCATGTTCAATTATGGCCATAGTTATAATCCTCCGAATTCGCATATTATTAATTTTTTGACACCTAATATTGCCTTCTTTATCCAATAACATCACTCCAATATCATGAAATTTGTCCAAAACTTTACAAGATCTAGCATGCCTATTTAAATGTGAAGTACCATTAGCCCTACCGGATGCTAGTAAAGTTTGACAGCCATTACGCCTTGCTTTAGGATTTCCATCAACCTCAATTATAGTAAAACACTTTCAAACATCAGATGTTAAAGTTCTAGCTTTTTTAGACTTGGATTCATCGGTCTCTTGAATAAAAGAACATGACTTACCTCTGGGCCTTTTAGTTTTCAGTTCATCATCCACCTGCACGTCCTCTGCCTCTTGAACTACACCAGCAGCTGAACTAGGGATCATACCACTCTTAATCAATGTTCCATCATCACACTTGGCTAAGTTATTGCTAGAGACATTGGTTGCCTTACTCTTACTCTTGTGTGATTGTGAGGCAGACATTATAAATTTCAAATACTTTCTGCCTGTTGCGTTGCATCAAAGTAAAAGGAATAAATTACTCACAAATCAAAGCTAGAACAGAACACCCAAATACCCAAGCAAAAGAGGAGAAAGCTCAAACTGTGTGTGACTCAATAGATGAGGGAACAAAGAACACTAGAACTCAGCACACAGGACAAAGAACTTAGCACAGTACAGCTGCGAATTCGCGAGAACAAAGATTGGTGAACAGCACGTTTAATATATCAGAGAACACGCAAGCAAAGAGAAGTCTTCAACCTTGGCGATTGGTGAACTTGCGTTCAGATTGACAGCAGAAACACACCAATGCACGATCTTGACAGCAACCGTAAGACGGTGGAAGATCAACACCATGGTGGGGATTAGAACTACAGCATTTGAACATTGATTCGAGCTGAGGAGAGAGATCGAACGATGGAGAGCTGTGTGAAAAACACAATAGACAGCAACTTGGAATATAGATCAAACATCGTTGATTTGAGCTTAGAGCTGCTACAGCAATAGACGAGAGTGAGAGTGAGGTGAGAGCCTCAAGTCTTCAACTAGTCAGAAAGATCAAAGATTGAAAGAGAAAGATGACTGCCACCCATTGCGCACGAAGCCACAAACTAACAAAAGTGAGACTGAGAACAAGATTAGGAATGTAGATCGGACGACAGTTAATGGTGGAGCTACTACAACAATAGACGAGAGCGAGAGCGAGGTGAGAGCAAGATGAGAGCCTCAAGATAGTCAGAAAGATCAAAGACTGAAGTTTGAAAGAGAAAGATGACTGGCACCGTCTGCCACTACCACCCACTGCGCACGAAGCCACAAATTGAGACTGACAAAAATGAGACTGAGAACAAGATTAGGGACTTAAGGTTGGCTTTTTTTTTTTAATTTCCTCCTTCTATCCTTTAATAAATATAGGCTCCAACTTACACAATTTTTGTCTAGCCCACTAATCTTTCACTCATCATGTCCATAATAAAAAAAATTTCAAGGGCTTAAACGGGCTGGCCCTCAGCCAAATGATCTCAAACGGGCTGGCCCGTTTAGGCCCTACTTTAAACGGGCTGGCCCTCGGCCTTTTAGGGCTATTTTATTGAAAAATAAATTGACTATTTTATTGAAGGGTGAGATTCAGTTAAAAATGCCTTACATTTTTTAAGGGAGAGTATTTCATTGTTTTCATTCAAAATATATATATTTATTTCATAATTTATAATTTTGAAAATATATACATATAGATATATTTTTTAATATTTGTTCTTTTTTTTCATTTTCTAATATTTATTGGGTATAGATATATATAAATTATAGTTTAGAAATATAGATTAAATTTTAAAAGAAAAATGTAACGAATTTTACTGGGACCAGTTTGAGGTTGGCTTTCCTAACATTGATTCTCAAGCTTTAGTTCCTTGTCAGATTGGATTGAACTTGGGAATGGTTCACAGTGTGGCCGGCGTGATATGGTTCTCATGACAATGATTGGATTACATTGGCTACTTGTCACCTATCATGTCATATTTGCCACCTGACTGAAGAGAAGCTGAAACCAAAATTTTGTAGAGAGAATTATGTTAAAGTCTTATATAAAAAAATTAATTATTATAAAATTTATTGATAAATAAATTAAAGTTGTTAATAATTGATTGTGTTATCAATGATCTTAGTTCAGTTATTAAGAAGTTTTATAATAATTAATTTTTTTATATGAAACCTGTATATAACTCAATTTTTTATGAACATGTTTTGGTTAAAAATTATGTAGATATGGATGTGTGTGTATGCATGCATATGTATACTTTAATAGTGATACATATTTTTAATCTTGTTTTAATCCAATGTTTTCAAAAAGGCATTGTTTTTATTTTAATTTTTTTTTTATGTTATGCATATTTTTTAAAAAATTGCATATAAGAAGAACTACTCTGCATTTGATGGTGGAGAAAAAAAGAATTTATCTGTGTTTAGGGGGATGACACACACACATATGTGAGAAAAAGAGAGATAAAAGCAAAGCTATTAATTATAGTTGAGTTTGTCAAGCCAATCTTTTTAAACTTGAAATTAGTTAGGATTGGGCCATTATTATATGGTAGAAAACGGTAAACTCTTTTATTATTTTTAAAATTTCAATTTAAAAAAAATAAGAGATTAAGTATCTTACTAAAAGAAATGAAAATCGTAGACTCATTCCTCCCTTTCTCATTCATTAATTAAGATTTAGCTAAGGATAATAGTAAAGTCTAATTTTTATTGGTGTTAATTTTGATATTGCTTTTGATATTATACTTACATGTTTAAGTTTCACATATTTGTTGTGGTGTGAATTACCTTAAATTTATTTTTAAAATTTAATCTTATGTGTAATAATTTTTTTTAGAATTACAAATATATATTTTTAAATTTTTAAATTAAAAAAGAAAAAAAGGTTGATACTTGCATGATTAACATTTCGACCCTAAAGGCCAAGGTGAGGCCTTGCAAAATGATACTTTGAGATATAATGAAACTTATTAGAGCCAGTTTATTTGGAAATTGGCTGTAATTGACACTTCTAAATAAAAACTAATTTTTAGTTTTTTTTTGCCAACTCATTTTTTGTCTTCTATCTTATATCTTTATATCAGTGTTCAATTTGATTTTTTAATTTTATTAAATTCCTTTTTAGTTCTCTAAATTTAGCACCATTAATCTAATTAATAGAAAATGTTGACATAATCATTTAAATGCTTCAAAACATTATCAAATCTTGAATTTTTTTTAAGAAAAATATAATTTTAGGTTTCTATGCTTTGCTTGAATTTTATTATAAGTTCCTTTACTTTTTTTAGTGTTCTAGGTTCTTATACTTTTATTTTTTAGTGTTTTAGATCCTTCCATAACTAGTGTTATAGAGATTTAGCACACTGAAAAAAAGTGCAGAAACCTATAACAAAATTCGGGTAAAGTGCAATGACCCAAAGTTTTATTTTTCTTTTTTTAAAATGTAATTATTTTTATATTTTAAAATTAAAATAAGTTGATACGGCACCTCTAGGACTCGAACTAGGTTGTTCAAGACAGATCTGAGTTGTTAGATTAGAATTCAGTTCTATTTTGTAGTTTATTCTATAGTTAAAAAATATTATAATGAAAATTTTTATGTCTTATTTTATATGACATTGAATTTTATAGCTATTTGTTTTTGTCCTGTAAATTTGTTATACATAATATTCATAATCACCATCAACCTGATCCCTTTATCAGTGTAGATGAGGGATGGAATTTAAATATATTATGATAATGTCTTGTATGGTATAAAAGAATTAATTTTTAAGGAAGTGAAAATGGAAGTGAAAATAGAAGTGGGTTAAAATTGCAATTAAAAAGCATGTTTGGTGTGTTAAAAATTAGATGGAATTGAAGTATTTTTTAAAATAAAAAATAGGTTGAATAATTAACATTATAATTAAAAGACACCTTTGCCCTTCATTAAAATAAAATAGTCGACTAAAAAAAAAAAAACTTGAGTGATCAAAGAACCCTCGTATGCTCTGAATGTTCGTGATCTCCAATATCACTCTTCCCTGCTCTTTGATAGTCATCACTCCTCCGGGCTCCACCATCGCTTCGTCATCCTAAGCAACCCAATTTTAGATTTTACTTCTACTTTCACTTCCATTTTTTCAACCTTAATTCTATCGTGCCAAACATGACATGGTTGATTTAAATAATTTATCAACAAATTGAATATTAATTAATCAAATGAAATCAGTTAGTTAATATTAACATAAATTAATAAATTTGGTTGATTTTGAGGGCCAAGATGATTGATGGAGTTGAATTAATTCATTATAAAATCATGAAAGTATATAATTACATTAAATAAATATATTAAAAACATTTTAAAGTATTAGAGGTGAAAATAGGCTAGATCGAGTGAGGATTTGGCCAAATAAACTTGAGCCATATGATAAATCAGAAGCTTGAAGCTTATATAAGACTTTTTTCATGATTTAGGTTTGAGCTTACGTAAAGTCTGGCTTAAAAGCTTATTAAAAGCAAGCATTTTAAATAAATTTATATTTTAATTTTAAATGTTTCAAATGTACTTTAAAACTATTATAATATATAATTTGTAAACTAATTTATTAATTATAATATATAATTGAAAGGACTTACTCTTTTCATTAAAAAAATGTAAGAAATTTTTTAAAAAGTTGGATGTTTAAAAATATAAAATATTTTTTAAAAAATATAATCATTATTTTTTTAAGTATTTATATTTTTACTTTATATTTGTTTTAAAATAAAATATCCTATTAAATAAATATAAATATAAAAAATTAATTTAAAATAAATAATTATTTTATTTTGTTGGGAGTAAAAATATCTTGTAACAATAAATTTAACGACATAATATATCAACCGCTTCGCGAAAGTTGGGAAGAGATTACCTTTTTCACAGTGCCGGACGAGGGCGAAGCCGTGACTACCATGGGGGAACCTCAGTTGAAGTGTGTTACGCCTCCCGCCGCTCAACACCTGCTCTCCGATGTCTCCAATGTTGCTTTCTCCGAGTTGAACGATACTGTCCAGAGTTTGCCTTCGAACGCCGTCAAGGACTTGTTGTCCCAAGAGGTGAATCTGTAGTCGAGTTCTATTCTCGATATTTCATTTTGTTTCATTGTTGTGTTTGTGGAGGAATTTTAAGTTGATCCAGGATGTCAGGCAGAGAACGGTGGTTCCCAGCTTTCTATAGTTTTCAAGGAATAATGAGGGAGTTTGTGATGGTACTCGTTTGTTGCTAATAAATCTCCTATCATTATGTATGTTTGTATGGCAGTCAAATTGAATCACAGTGTTTTGTTAATGTCATGTGGTTTTGCTCTCCTTCTGGAGCCTGGGTTATAGATTGCATTTATCGATGAGAAGCTGACCTTATCGATCCAGATGATGACTGATATTGATGATTTGGAAAGAATGCCACGTCTGTTGATGATAGACGAGATTGAACTAATCATATTATGTATTTTACGGGTCATATCAAATTATGCTTTAGGATGGAATTGCTCATGGCATCATGAAGCTTGATCCAGGTACTTGTAAAATATTGTCACATCTCTCCTGTAATATATAATGTTGCAGATATGTGCTCGCTGCATCTTTCGGCTCTTTGGAGTCCAAGGGCGCATCTATTCGTGCTTCTTGCTTTCATCATCAGCAATTAGTTCCATGATTGGAGGGCCAATTGATTTGGACAGTTTTACAATGGATAGTTGTTCTAGCAAATGTGAAAACTCAAGTAGTTACATGGAAACCAAATGTGATGCTAAACTATGCAGCCTTTGTTTAGGGATCCTGCAGTTCAGATTTTCCAGTGACACAAGGACTCTATTGAAAAAGGATACACCAGATGCTATGGCTGTCTTAATTGCCGACATGGTTAGGGAAGATGGCCATCAGATTGATAGCTTTTCCCTTGAAGTTTCAATACCACCTGTCATCCGTGAAAATGAGAGTGCAATCCAGTGAGAGTCTATCCATGCTGATTAGCACTATGCAATTTTTGAATAACAGCAGAGAATTTCTCAATGATGGCAGCATCTTGTAGTTGCTCTTTCTTGAGGAATGAGTATGGTTTTTTTTTTTTTTGGGAGTTTAGGGATTCTTTTTCTTGCATAATTAAATGTGCATTCGAAATATTTCTTTAAGATTCAGGAGAAAAGAAATAATCATTATTTCCTTTCCCAAAGCATACTCTAGATTTGGTCAAACTGCTATCTTCTTATCTGTTTAATATGACTGGAAGTAAGTTCTCTTGTTAAACTTTTGTAGGTCATACATAAGAACGAAATATGGAGCTGAGCGTTGGTTCCAAGAAAAGTTACATTTTGGATGTGTGTCTACAAAGGATGCCTTAAAGTTTTCTATAGTTTATCCTCTTGAAAATCTTCTTGTAAGCTTTATCTATTCCATCTTCTAAGTTGAAATGCATGAATTAGATTTTATGCACTATTTTTTAAATATATCTAGTATTGGTAAGGAAATGATTACTCATCAAAATATAGGAGATACCAGATCTTATATGTACCTTTTCTTTTTCACATAGGAGTTATGTTTCTTCCAATAATCCTTTACAGAATTGAAGTTTTGTAGGACTGTAAATCAAAGATGAACTCTTTCCGTATCCGTTTGACATATGATCATACTAACTCATCAAAAGAGGCTAGAAAGTGTTCAGATGGTGATAAGAGTTGCAAGAGAATAAAAACAGGCACGTCTAAGTTTACTGCATCCTGTGTTTATATTATTTATTTATTTGCTTATTTTTACATTATTATCAAAGCAACAGATGTTTGTGGTTTGTGCTGATGCTTGTTTCATTTTAAGATATTGGGATTTTCTTCAGAGCCTTCTTAGTTATTGATTTATTTACTTTAGTGTATTTTCGTTCCATCCAAAGGAGTCCTTTGTTAAGTTGGGCTACTGTGAACATTTGATTGGACTTGTAATTGCCATTTATTGACACAATTGAAGCCGTAGCCACATTCAATTATAGGACTCAACTAGTTGCACTATTAGGGATTTAGGTTGCAATTCTTGTTGTTGAGAATCATGACCAGTCTGTGCAAATCATTTTTATTTCTTAGGTATAGCATTATTTAAGATATAATATTGAGAAAAGGAATAAGACCAAGACATTTTACTTCTTGATCAAGATTGATCCTAAATATTTATGGATTTGACCTTTTGTCTCATGGACTAGAATATAGCCTTTGCTTACTAATGATGTGTGTGTGTGATTGCATGTATCTATGCAATATGACTGTAGAGGTATATGCTGGTGCATAACTATTGACATGATACTTTTGACTAGAAGAGTTGCAAGATTATATTCACAAGTTATTGATGGAGACTAAGGGGTTATGAGATGCTTAAATCCCACATTGAGTAGTAATAAAACGTGCACTAGAGTATTTACTTAGGTTAGTTCCTTCACCTCAACAGCTAGCTTTTAGAAGAAGGTTCCCAATCCCATTGATTGATATTAGAACTTAGTAGTCAATGGTTATGGAAAGGGCTACCTATGGCAGTTTCTAACTGGCAAGAAAATTAATTGAAGGGTCACTAAGTAAAGAGTTGGGGGTTTCTAACCACCAAGAAAGTTGGGTTAAGTGTCACTAAGTAAAGAGTCATAGGATGTAGCTATTGAGACATGGACTCTCCAAAGTGGCCAACTGATGAAGACTAAGGTAGTATGGGTTGCCTAAGTCCTATATTGAGTAGCATGGAATGCTTTATGGGTATTAAATTGGATTAGCTCTGCCATCTCAATAGCTAACTCTACACATCCCACTCGGATACCCATCTAATTTTTTAGCCCTATTTGGCTTCATTTATGATTTGATGATGGTGTCTAGAGATCACAAGAATCTTTTGTTTCATTTTATCTATTCTTCGAGACCAATATATGCTGGGATTATTTGTAGGTGTGGACAACAGAGTGGGTGTTGCCTATGATTCCATGGTTTCTCACCATGAATGCTTAGATTCTTTCAAGGCTGAATCCAATTTAGTTGGAGAAAATCCTTTCAACGGTTTGCTAGAAAATAAGTCCTCTGAGTCTCATGGAATGTTGCTAGAAAAGGTATCTCAAATTTATTCCTTTGTTATGGCTAAATATTTGTGAATTTGGTTTACTTTGTTTTCATGATAATTCTATGCTAGTTTCATTGTTTCCCATTAAATTAAGGAATTGCATTTGTGCTGTTTTTAATGGTAAAAAGAAGTTCTGAGCCTTTTGTTGCCTTCTCTTATTCATTAATGTCTAAGATTATATAGTACTTGTTACTAACTTACTTTTCTTGCTTTGTAGGTAATTGAACCTTGCCATTTTACAGTCTATTGCTACAGGGCACCCATCTATGTTGGTGGAAGATACCTGAAGGTAATCAAGTAGTTAGTACCTTTTTTCCCTTTCAAGGGTTTGCTATGCATTATCTGTGAATTATTTATATTTTCAAAAATCACGTATGGATGAAATTGGGCCTTTTTTAAGCAAATGATAGGCTGGACTTAATTGCTTTTGCAACTTGAAATTGATGCTGTTGCTTCCATGGCAGTATTCACGGAATGTGAGTCAAACACGCTGGATAATTGATGATGAAAGAATGGGGGAAGCATCTGTCGAGGTACTGCAAAACATGGCAAATAGTTCTGATCCTTCCTTTGATTGGGGAAGCTGACAGTGTATGCTTATTTTTTAGGAAATAATTGGGGGAAACATCCTTCAGAAGTGCCATGGTGATAGCTACAAGTTTCATGCTGCTGGCAGAGAGGATATTGATGTATTAGAGATCTGTTGCACTTGCTGGCCTTTCAAACTCTTATGGTGAATGAATTTCCATGTCTCTAACCTATAACTATTTATCCAGGTCCGAATGTTGGGTCCAGGCAGGCCATTTCTTGTTGAGGTGCAAAATGCGCGACGTATCCCATCTGATCTGTTTGTAAACGATATAGAGAAATTGATAAATAACGTGGAAAATAAATTGGTAATATTGTAGTTCTATCTTTGCTGTATGTTTATATGCCAATTGTTTTAGTTGTTACCGAATATTATAACAAATGCTCATGTAGGTTAGTGTGAAAAATCTGAAGTTGGTTGGTAACAATGGCTGGAATCTTATACATGAAGGAGAGGCAGAGAAACAGGTCTTGCAGTATCCTTCTAATTGGATATTAATTACAGATCATGTTTTATGATTTTCATGTATCACTCTATATCATGCCTTTCTGAGACTTTAATTATTACAATATTTGTTAATTTCACAGAAGCAATATGCTGCTTTAGTGTGGATTTCTCGTCCTCTGAATGATGAAGATTTGCAATCTATGTCCTCATTCAAGGATTTGGTGAGTGTTAAAGTAGTTTAGCATTTTCCGTCAAATTTACATTAAAGGATTAATGTATCCAAGCAAGCAAATGACAAAATGTGATTGAGACTTGCTGCTGGCGAACACCTCATGGTTGCCACTTCTTATTTCTGGTTTGCTTGTGGTCAATATTCTAGCGGATGATTACTAACTTGTCTGACAGGTTCAATATAATGTTGGCTTCTCTTAAAACTATATTAGCATGATGGAGAATCAAGACCATCCAGCTTTGTTGGCTCTAGAATTTATGGTTTGTTATGGAAACTGACTGTAGTGCTACCTTAACCAAGGTCCTACTTGTAAGCATTACCTCAGAGTAGTGTGGGATCTTGTAAGTGGTCGTGGAATTTTTCTTTTAATATTAGATTTTGCTCAAATGCTAGGGTATTTATCAATTTTATGATAGTCAAACCATCAAAATAATGGTTCAAGGTTCATTGATTGGATAATGGTTAAATCATGGTCAAATTGGTCGTAATTAAATTGATATATTTTACTTATTACAATATCAATTAAGGAACAAGACAATCAATAACGTCTATAGCTTAATATATAAATTTAAAGAAATTCATATGGCCAAAAAATAGATATCCATATTTATTTATAATTGCTAACTTAATTTTAATATGTAGCAAATAAATAATTATCATAATGTTTATTTCATTAATTGTTAATCCAAGGTTCTTTGAACTCAAAAGAAAGCACATTAATTAAAATAGAAGTTCTCTAGTTCTACCTGTGCAACTATATGGAATTATGGCTAGTGGAGAGACTTGTTCATTTTGCCTTCCATGAACCAATTTAGGCGTCTTCTACCAGGATAGACAGGCCAGGTCAGTAAGAGGCATGCTTGTTAGGAGGAGGCTAGTAGAGTTGCTTCCCAACAAACTTTAGCTATTGGTAAGGCAATGAAAGGATCTAAAGGAAATGTTATGGCCAATGCACCTGAAAAGGGGGGGATGACAGAAAGAGCAGGGAAGTCACAAGAGTCTGTAATAAATAGGCATTATGCTTCCATGAGGATGTCCTAGAGGTTGGGGGGTGGTCCATGACTCCATATGGTGGTGTTGACATGACCGATGGTGGCCTTTGGCTGGGGGGAGAAACAGAGAGAGTTGATAACTTGCAGAGTGGATGAAGAAAATTGCAAACGTGGTGCTTACATGGATGAAGAAAATCCATCATTCAAAGCCTTAAAAGTGCCAACTTTTCTCTGTTAGAACAACAAAGCCTCAAATATTTAGTGGAATAGCAGTATTTAATCAAAGTTTTGTAACTTGATCTTCCCATCTAGTCATGAGAATCGATTTGTTTTGATGATACAACTTTGAAGAAATCATTGTTTTGTTAATGATTTTTGCTGATTATTAAACGGAATAGCATGAACACTGATGAGGGTCCAAGTCAGCATAACAGGCCGCTAATCACTTATCAACACAGAAAGAGGAGGAAGATAACAGAAACCGATGCTGTTATGCAGATTGTGGGGGATTTATCTGATTTAAATTAATTATTTGCTGTTATTTTAATTAATTGCTGTTCTGTTTTGCTGAATAATAGGACCTCAACTTTGTTAGTGAGGTACCCATAGTAGTTATTTTCTGATTGTTAGGCTATTATTCTGCATCATTTGATTTATTTAGTTGTAATTTCTGATTGTAAATATCCTGGCTCCTATAGCAGCAGGATATCATTGAGAAATAAACCATTCTTTTCCTTGGAGATTCTCCTATTTGGCTATTGAGTTCATTAGAGTGAAATTCTTGCTCTAGTAAATTTAATAGATTTTCCCTCTTACTTCATCTCTATCTTGAGCCTCTATCAATTGGTATCTGAGTCTCATTTTGATCAATATGGTGACCACACGCTTAGAAATGAAATTAACCTTGCCAACTCCTCTGACAACCCACCCCACAGTGAACCTAATGAAAACCTGTTTGCATCAAACCCTTTAGCCATCATTGCATCCAAACTTGAAACACTGACTTATTAAAAGAGAAGGTTGAGGCACTTGAGGTATTTGCTAACAAGTGTAAAAGACTAGCGGGCAGCTATCATAGGCGCTCACATTGGGATGAAGACAGTGAAGAGTCAAACTATAGAAGAGGTCCACATTTGCCACACTCCAAAATTGAATTCTCGAAATTCAGTAGAGGTGACCCACATGGTTAGATTTTGAAGGTTGAGAATTATTTATGGTATTATAAGACATCAAAAGACTCGAAGCCTCAATGGTTGATGTGGCTTCCAAGTATTTAGAAGATGCTTTGAATTTATTCTCATGGATAAATTCATAGCGTTTTGCTTTGCTTTACTGGGACGAGTTAGTAAAAGCCTTGCAAGAGCATCATGGTCCCCTGGAATACCAAAATCCCAATGAGTAACTCTCTACCATCAAGCAAGCCGGAACTGTTCAAGAGTATCGTTAGGAATTTGCAAGTTGTGTTGCACGAGTCCACAACTGGCTAGAGCACTGCCTTTTAGGTGTTTTTCTTGAAGGTCTTAAGGAAGAATTGAGGTTTGATGTGTGAATTCAGAAACCTCGCACAATATATAAAGAAGCCAGCCTAGCCTAGAGTATGAGAAAAAAGGCCCAATTGCACCGTGGGCCCAAGCCTAGTACTTTTCAAGTCTAAAACCAGTTCAATAACGCTTCAAGCTCCTTCGCATGTGACTTACAAGGGATACTTACAGTGTCTTCTTTGAACACAGGCAAGAGCTCGCCCTGTCCTCCTTTGCTCTTTGTCCAGCAAGTGCGACGACACCCAAAACCTTTCTCTTAGACATAGAGCAAAGGAAAAGGGGTTGTGTTTCCGTTATAGGGAGGTTTTTCAGCCTAGGCATCGGTGCAAATTCTCATCTTTCTCACTTATGGAGGTCAACGAGGATGGGCAACCCATCTCTAAAACTCTTGAAGCTGTTGCAGAGGCCGAAGATGAGATTATGAAACCATCAAGCATCTATTAAGTACAGTTTACTAGCCTCAAATGAAATATGATGTACAAGCTTTGGTTTAATAGTGCTTTACTTGCCAAGAGAACAAATATGAAACTTTATCTCCAACTGGTTTGTTGCAACCTTTATCAGTTCCTGAACAAATTTAGGAGGGCATCTCTCTTGATTTTATTGTTATGTTGCCTAAATCTAGTGGTTATGATACTATTCCGATGGTAGTTGATAGGTTGAGTAAATATTGTCATTTTATTCCCCTATCATATCCCTATACTGTAAAATCTATGGCTGCTCACTTCTGTGGGGAAATTGTCTGTTGTCATGGCATGCCTCGCTTTGTTCTTTTAGATCGAGACCTACTTTTCTTGAGTGCTTTTCGGCAAGAGTTATCCAAGCTGAGTCAAACTTGCCTTTGGATGAGTACTGCATGCCACCCTCAAATTGATGGCCAAACCGAAGTGGTAACTATTGCCTTGAGACCTATCTATGGTGTTTTACACATGAGCAACCACGTTTTAGGAGTAAGTTCTTATGTTGGGCTGAATTCTCATTCAACACTAGTTTCCATGTTTCTGCCAATACTACCCCCTTCAAAGTTCAAAGTGGTGTATGGGAGGGACCCTCTTCCATTTCATCCTTTCATTAAGGGTGAAACTCACATTGTTGAGCTTGCTGACCAACTAGAAACTAGATACCATATGCTGCAGCTTCTTAGGGATGATTTGAAAAAGGATCAAAACCTAATGAAGATGTATGCAGATCAACATCGGCGTGAGATTTCTTTTGAGGTGGGGGATGATGTTTTCTTGATACAGCCTTTCAAGCAGTGTTCATTGTTCCATAAGGAGCATGGCAAGCTCTCACCTCAATTCTTGGGACCTTATCATCAAGATTGGATCAGTGGCCTATGAATTGCAGCTACCTTCAACAGCTAAAATGCATCCAATCTTTCATGTCTCATCGTTGCAATCAGCTCATGGTATTCCCCCTCTAGATCGTCCAGCAGATATGCTGTTGTCAGCTGATTTTGATCTTGTTTTGGAGCCTGAAACTGTTCTCTCTCATCCCTGGAAGGGACCCCAATTGGAGCTGTTAATCAAATGGGAGTCTAGACCTGAAGAAGAATCGAGTTGGAAAGATTATGATTTGTTTGCACAGCAATTTCCCAATTTCCGCCTTGAGGACAAGTTGTTTTTTCAGGGGGGGAGTAATAATAAGGGTCCAAGTCAGCATAGCAGGCCACTAATCATTTATCAACGCAAAAAGAGGAGCAAGATAACAGAAACTGATGCAGATTATGAGGGATTTATCTTATTTAAATTAATTATTTGCTGTTATTTTAATTAATTGCCATTCTGTTTTGCTGAAAAATAGGACCTCAACTTTGTTAGTGAGGAACCAACGAACCAGTCAGTTATTTTCTGATTTTTAGGCTATTTTTCTGCATTATTTGATTTATTTAGTTATAATTTCTGATTAGAAATAGCCTAGCTCCTATAGCAGCAGGATATCATTGAGAAATAAACCATTCTTTTCCTTAGAGATTCTCCTATTTGGCTATTGAGTTCATTAGAGTGAGATTCTTGCTCTAAGCTAATTTAATAGATTTTCCCTCTTACTTCATCTCTGTCCCGAGCCTCTACCAAACACCCAGTCCTGATTCTTTTACATGTTCGTCAATTGAATTCTGTGAAGTTGTTATTAGAATTGTGTTCTTCCAATTAGAATAAGAGTAAGAATGTCATCCATAATAAATGGGACAACAGGAACACCCTGTCTGTTTTAGGTATAATATTTTCAAGCAAAAATTCCATAGTGACTAGCAATTGAGAAATTCGAACACACCATATTAAACGTTCTCAGCTCTTTTTGATGATTTGTTGTGGCTTTGGCCAAGGAATATGTCTCTTCCTGTGCAGAAAATATTGCAGAGGACACCGATAAGAGTGTTACATCGTCGCAGTCCTTTAGAGCGTGAAAAGATTATTCACTGGTATAATCCTTTTATATTTTTGTATGGCATCAATATAATCAGTGCTATGTGCAACTACTAACGAAAAATATCTCATATTCTCAAATTTTAGGATGAAAATAGAAATGGTTGCTGGAAGTTCCCAGTATTTTCTTTTGCATTTGTGCACACAGGTATTCCCTTCATGGAGTAAAACAGTGTTCTAAGCCGGATTGAAAATTCTAATTATATGGTTTTTACTGGCTACCCCAGCAAGTCCATGCTGTAAAAATATAGGAGACATTTTTTTAAAAGTAGAGTTCATTTGGTTGAAAAAAAAGAATGGTCTCTACAGAGGGTCCAAGCTTTTTTTTTTTTTAAATAGTGTGTTTAATAATTTCTCTTTCCGTGCAGGGAAAATAATGATAATGAAGTGTAACTAATGTTTGATTGCAGGCTGGGACCTACATCAAGGAATTTGTGCATGGAGATCTTGGACGCACCCATCCTAGGTATGACCTTATCCATGTCTGTTCTCTCGAGTTATTTATGAAGACTTGGACAAAAGATCACGTGCAGGCTGTGTTTTATACGCTTTGTTTTGCAGTATCGTTCAATTTTGGGCTGTAGAGCTGAAATTTTACGGCTTGATGTCACAAATGTCAAAATGGACTCTTTCCTTCCATAGGAAGGTTATTTTGACAGTCCTGTACACTATACTTGCCTTGCGGATCAATTGAGGAAATTCGCGCATTCCTAATTCGAACGGCATTCAAGCAACATACATCCGCAAACTGTAACCTTTGATTGGTTCCATCCAACAAACCAGGGTTCCGATTGATGAGAATGAAATGTTTATTGGTTATTATATCATTGTATTTAATATTTAATGTTTATTTTTTCTTGACAAATTTCACAGTAAAACGTTTGATGAGATTGACTATTGTATTTTGATCGGTTATCCACATCAGAGCAACTAACTGCACCTATGTTATATATAGTAGATTTCAAGCCTGGATAAAGAAGAAGGGTTGTATTAAGTGCTCAACAATTGACATAAAACTTTATTAAATCTGACATGAATATAGACATTAGATGTTTTTGTGCTAATGCTAAGTCATCGTCCATAAGTAACGTGACATATGGCTCGAGTGCAGTGACAAGTGAGTTAGAGCCGTTATATCAATGCTCAGATGTATATGTTAAATGAGCAAAGGTTGTTGTGTTATTCTGAACGAGTGTGAAGTTAGTTCATGTAAGCAAGATTAAATTTGGTACATGGAATATTCGAACTTTGACTGTTAAATCTATGAAAGTAGTATGAAATATAATTCATAAAAAAATTAATATCTTGTGCCTATAAGAAACTAAATAGCTTGGTGAACAAGTTAAGGGTGTTCAAAGTTTCAAACTTCAAAATATTAAAAAAGTAAGCACGTAATGGGGTGGGCATCATTGATGATAAGGAGTGGGGGAAGAATGTGGTATAAGTTAATAGAATTAGAGATAGAAGGATTCGCTTAAAAATAATTGTTAGATGTGTGACTGTCAATATTATTAACGCTTATGCACCTCAAGTTGACATAGAAGCCGGTCTTAAGGAATTATTTTAAAAATACTTGGAGGGGTTGATTCAAAGCATACCGCATAATGAAAAAAATCTTTATTGACAAAGACTTTAATGGTCATGTCGGGAAGGAGGTAAGTCATTATGCGAGGATGCATTGTGGTTTGGGTTTTAGGGAGCAAAATAATGAAAGACAATCTATTCTTGATTTTTCTTTGGTGTATGATTTGAAAATTGTCAATACTTGTTTCAAAAAAGGGATGAGCATCTCATTACTTATAAAAGTAGAGCCTCAAGATCACAAATTGATTTCTTTTTGGTAAGGCACACAAATGAAGACTTTGTAAAAATTGTATGATTCCTTAAGATGTTATAACGACACAACATAAAATCATTATCCTTAATGTGTGTATTACAAGGAAAAACCAAAAGTATCGACAAGTGATAACTCCAAGGATTAGGTGGTGACAATTAAAAGGTGAAGAGTAAGAAGTTTTTAAGCGAAATCTCTTAGCCGAAGAAATTTGGGAGTTTTAAGGAAGTGCTAACATCTTGTGTGAGGATATAGCTGGGAAGATAAGGAAAGTTGCAAAAGAAGTTTTGGGAGAATCAAAAGGTTTTAGTCTAAGAGATAAAGAGCCTTAGTGGTGGAATGAAATTGTATAGGAAAAAATCAAGCATAAGAAAGAGTGTTTTAAAGCCATCCATTTGTGCAATAATAATAAAAATTAGGAAAGTTATTTATGGCTAAAAAGGAAATTAAGAAGGTGGTGAGTGAAACTCGTTTTAAAGCATTTAAAGAGTTTTTAAAATGGTCTTAGGACAAAGAATAGAGAATGAAAAATTTATAATATTGCTAAGAGTAAGGAAAGAAAATCAAGAGATTTGGGACAAGTAAAGTGTATAAAGGATGAAGAGGAAAATATTTTAACCACAGATGGTGATATTAAAGACAGATGAGAAATTTACATTTCTAAACTTTTCAATGATGGCAAGGGTTTGTCAATTAACTTGAAAGACTTAGTAATTCTTGAAGGAGAACAAAATTTGTCATTCTATTAAAGGAAACGTGATTGAGAGGTAAATGAAACTCTTAAAAAAAATGATAAATGATAGAGCTAATGGATTTGATTATGTTCCTATTGAAATGGGAAAATGTGTGGATAAAGAAGGGGTGTGATGGTTAACTAATTTATTTAATGAGATTTTATAGTCCAAGAAAATGACTGACAATTGAAGGAGAAGTGCCTTAGTTCCTATTAACAAAAATAAAGAAGATATTTAAAATTGTGCTAACTATAGATGGATTAAACTTATGAGTTATATAATAAAACTGTGGAAAAGAGTAATTGAGTATAGGTTGAGTTTGAAAACTAGAAATTCTGATAATTAGTTTGGCTTTATGCCAAGTATGGTGACTACAGAAGCAATTTATCTACTAAGGGGATTAATGAAAAAGTATCGATACAAAGGTAAATATTTACATATGGTTTTCATTAATTTGAAAAAAGCTTATGATCATATATTGAGAGAAATACTTTAGAAAGTATTGGAAAAGAAAAGTGTCCTATATTCAAGCTATACAAGACATATATGAGGAGGCAACAACTAGCATAAGAACGTCTGATGATAAAACAAAAGACTTCCCCATAAAGATTGGTTCGCATCAAGGATCATCTTTGGGTCCTTATTTGTTTGATTAGTATTAGATATTTTGATTAAGCATATTCAAAAGGAAATCCCTAAATGCATGCTTTTTGTAAATGATATAATTTTTATTGCAGAGACAAGAGAAGAGATTAACTGTAAACTTAAGTTATGCAGAAAGGCTAGTGAAAAAGTTTCCGCTTGAGTAGAAATAAGATGAAATATCTACATTATAATTTTGATAAGAGATTAATTAATAGTAATTTGAAAATGAAATTGGGTGATCAAATTATACCTAAGTGAAAAAGTTTAGATATTTGAAAGTGATTATTCAACATAATGGAAAAATTCATGGGGATATTATACATAGGATACAAACTAAGTAAGTTATTTGTGATCATAAGATATCTAATAAACTGAAAAGAAAGTTTTATCAAACTGCTATAAGATTAACAATATTATATGGTAGTAAATGTTAGATTTTAACAGAATAGCAAAAGTATAAAGTTGAAGTAGCAAAGAAGAGAATGTTAAGATAAATGTATAGACATACATGTAAAGACAATTCAAAATAAGCGCATGCGGGAAAAAGTGAGCACACACCTATTTAAAAAAAGATAGAAAATTGTTTAAAATAATTTGGATATATATAAAGAAGCTCACAGAAAGCACCTGTGAAGAGAATGAAATAGATAAGGATAGATGAATGCAAAAAAAACAAAACACTTTTAAAAATTATTGATCAAATTCTCTCAACATTTATAAAAATTAAATAAAAAATAAAACACAACGATATCATATAATCATTTTCATCTAAGAAAATAAGGTTTGTAATTGCCGTCAATGTAGTACCCACATAACAGCAACTAGCAGATGCTCAAACCTTTTTGCTCGGTTCGCAGCAAAAATTTCCAATAGAATTGTTACATCATGTCTTCCTTTTTTTGTCGTTTTTTTGGCCCCAAAAAACATTTCGCCGACTTTCATGTTGCTTCGTGATTAACATTGAAAAATCTCGTGGTTTTGTAAACAAGGTCCGAACTATTTAACTCGTCACTGAAAATAAGTACGTATTTCGAAAGAAATTGCTTGTACGGCAAAAGAAATTTTTTGTTCTTAGCTGAAGCAGGACGATTGGAATTAAATTCAAGCTTATGATAAAATGTGCAATAAAAGCCACAAATTTTACTAGCAACTCCGTGATCCCGAAAGTGTTTTCCATCGTGTATAGAATTAGAAAATAAATGACATGTAAATAAAGTCCTTACGGGTCCCCATATGCGGTTCGGAAAGTATAAACATCTAGAACATGAATCCCCAGATTATTCCAGGGAAAAAGCGTAGAAACTGAGTGTATTTGTTTCCTTGCTGAAAGGAAATAATCTCTTGATGTGTAACGTTTGTCTGACTGGCCACTATTCAGTCCAATGCGCGTCTAACATTTTTGCCATGAAAGCGTAGCGGTCAGCAGCCTCGTCAATCTGAGGATAGCAGGTTCAACTCGTCAAACTTAAGATAGAACAACAATACGGGAGAGAAAGTAAAGCCAACCTCGGAGTCATTAATTTGTTACCATTTTCTGCGTTGGTCGGCCTGCCCCATGTCCAGCCTTACATTCAATGCGACCTATTATAGGGTTTGTCTGGGGGCTTTTTTCTAGGCTCGTACAGAGAACATACTGCAGGGTCTGATGATAATACCATGTATTAAGAAAATCATGAGTTTGGCACGACTTTACAATTAACTTCTTTGAAGCTGGCAACATTACTTCAATAAAATGATAAGAACCAGATTAAGACTTACCGCCAGCAGCTTCAAAGAGTGCAATGGTACAACACGATCATCATGATCAGCTGTCAACAGCATGGTTGATGGGTACTGAATTGACTCATCAGGATACTCCTCCCATGGTCTCCGCACATTATGCAGTGGCGAGTACCTGAAATGCAGGGCTAAAGGATAAATACATACCTAAATCAAAGTGAAAAATGATAATTCATTTTGCATAATTCGGCTAAATGTCAAAAGCTCAGATATGGCACCGAGAGCAGTCGACTAGATGGATATTAGTTCAGTCATGTAACAAGATCTAGATATATCATGATAGAATAAACCTTACTTGATAAGCCAGTTAAACTCTTCCTCCTTGTCTGAGCAACCATAATCTGAGGTCCAAGCATGACCTGTAACAATAATACATCAATGCGTGACATGCATTGAAAAGAACTATCAGACACAACAGATCCAAACTAACCTATCGTGAACTTGTGAAATCGCAACATATCCATAACACCCACATGTGCCAGTGCGCAGCGAAAAAGATCAGGTCTCTGGATAGAGGGGAAAAACAAAACTAACATAAATGGAGGGCTCAATAACAGAGGCCTGCATAGGCTGAATGATGGTAGGATCCAAACCTAAAGGTTCCCAGGTGCAAATCCCGATGAATAGGATAACTGGGAAAAAGAGGGGAAGACAAAGCAAATGAATTATACCTGATTTATACAGGCCCCTACTAGAAGTCCACCATTGCTTCCACCTTCAATGCATAACTTATTGGGCTGGGTATAACCAGTTGATACAAGGTATTCAGCTGCAGAAATGAAGTCATCAAAACAATTCTGCTTTTTAGCAAGGGAGCCTGCTTTATGCCATTCCTCCCCATACTCTCCACCACCACGTATATTTGCTATGCAGAAAACAGCACCTAGATGTCTTGTAAGAACAATGCGACTTACACTAAAAGATGGAGTGAGACTGATGTTAAAACCACCATATCCATATAATAAACAAGGGTGTGAGCCATCCAAAACAATATTTTTCCTGGCAACAATGAAAATTGGGATCTTGGTACCATCCTTGCTGGGCACAAAGACCTGAAATGTGTGTGCACAGAACGTCAAAAATTTTAGGAGTGACAGCAAGGAGCAAATTTCATGAGATAGCCATGCCTCTATACAGAGAGAATAATTATATATTCAAGAACCTAATATTTGATGTGAAACTGCAAACAAAATAACAGCATTCATAAGCACCAATGAGGGCAATTTTTTACCTGGTTGACAAGAAACTCAGAGCGGTCAAACCCAGGAACAATAATTTCACGGAGAATCTTCATATGAGGAACCTCATTTTCCAAATTGCACTGATATATGATACCAGGAGTTAAAAAGCTAGTGAAGCCTATGAAAACCACATTATCTTCACGCCGTGCAGAAATTCCAAAAACTGTGCCTATGTCGATTGGTAATTGATGGTGCAAGGAGCCTGTTTTTAAGTCTCTCACTTGCAGAACATACTTCACATCACTCAAGTAGCTCACAATCATTTGGTTACCATTTACAGCACATGCTGACTCAAGTACATCTTTTTCAGATTCTGGGAGAACATCAGTCCATACAGTCGGTTCTTTCAAATCAACTCGAACTAGTTTATATTTTGAAGCATCTTTATTTGTCAAAAAAGTAAATACACTGTCATCATTTGCAATGGCTTGATACTGTGCATCAAAATTATCAACAAGCTTGACAAATGGGAGTAGGGCATTTTCATTTCGAAGACTCGCCAGCCCATCGGGAAGAGCAGTCATGTCACAGTAGTAAAGTTTGTTAACTGGATCACATCCTTCTTCAGTATAAAGAAGGGCATACTAAAGTGTCAACAAAGAAGAATGCTTCAGTCTCTCACAAAATTTGAGAATATACATATGTAATTGATATTGTGAGCTTTGTTACACTATTCTGCATAATGAAGGAAAATTCCAATCACACCTACCATCAAGGCTTCACTTCCAAAGCCATAATATTAACCAAGTAAGTAGCCATGCATTCAAATTGCACCTTTTAAATCATAGGGCTAAATAGTTGTTTTCTTAAAAGCATGTATAGTAGAACATAGATAGTGGAGCAACAATGTAGATTGCATAATTTCTATACAATCACGTGACTTAACAAAAACATCACAAAAGCACAAAAAATTTAGCTTTAAATTTTACTATTTAATGTCATATAAAAATATAGATAATGTCACATATGTCTAGAGCAACGGCAAATATAATGCACCTTTCCATCATCAGTAATACTTGCTCCAAACATATATTTAGGGTTTTCAGGATCTCTCCAGCAAAGGATATCTTCTGATTGATCAGTACCCAAAAAATGATAACAGAGCTCATGATAAAGGTTAGCATTCGTCTCAGTGCCAGCATCTACCACTTCTCCATCTCTACAGTGTAAGTTAACCATTGTTTGTCATCAATTCAATTTTTCAATGAAGGAAGCATGCAATAAATCTTACCAGCATCATCATGAATGAATTATGTACAAGATATTTAAAAAACAATACAAATTATATCATCCAGGAAAAAACAAATTCATCACCGTGATTGGCAATCAGATAGCAAGCAATTAGAATGACAAGCTCCTGTGTTGTACCTTCCCTAATTTTTATTTGCTAAATTCTCCCGCATTTTAACAGACAGAAGTGACAGTTAGAAGTTTCAAGCACACATCCAGTTTCCTACTTCCTGGAAAAGATGTGAGGAGAGGACATCACTTACTTGGGAGCTGGATAACGACTATAAAAGAAACCTTTGCTATCATGTGTCCAGCTTATAGAAGAAAACTTGACCTGAAAACATGGTATTAATATCTATAAATGGTTCAATTCTATACTCATCTCCCTTTCTATGGCGACAAACTGTGACACTCACCCAGGATAAAATATCAGGCTCAGCTTTCTTGTCCTCAATACGCATTACCTGTATTGTCACCCAATCGCTACCACTTGAACTAAGACCATAAGCCAAATACTTTGCATCCTCGCTCACCGAAAGTGTGTTTAATGAGACGGTTCCATCTTCACTGAGGACATTGGGATCAAGCAAAACGACTGGTTCTCCCTCCAAAGTATCCTGAAATGTTACAGAAGACCGTGACCATGAAATGGAAGAAGCTTAGAGTTAAACAGGAGGGGCCAAAAAAAAATGCCTTAATGACTAAGCCAGATGCACAAATAGACCATTAAACCTGAACATATAGGACGTCTTGTTGCTGAAGACCGGAATTATGGAAATAGAAGTACTTATTTGCTCGCCTAAAGGGAGGATTATAGCGAGGATGGTCAAAGAGTTTTGTGATCTTTTCACGAAGCTTCTCCCTAGCATCGCATAGCTGAAGCACGGAATCCGTCAATTCAACCTGCTTCTGTACAAACTCTTTTACTTCTTCCGCGTCAGGATCCTCAAGCCTGTACAAAGAACATATAACTTGACGATATTTACCATAGCATCTTCAAACAAATGTACATAAATCACAAATACTAGCGAGCTCAATCTCTATCGGAAGTAAATAAATGAAACTAGAGGAACATGTATATCATTCTCAATGTATCTTAGATAGTTTTGTTGCGAAACACTCAAGGACATAGAAGCTTCATAAAACGATCAACAAATTGAGCAAAAGAGGTGTAAATATTACGCAGGTACCATCTATAAGGATCGGCAATCCTAACGCCATGGAAGTCATCGATGATAGACTCGTCTCTAGGAGCAATAGGATAATGCAGAGGCTCGTCTAGGGCACAGAAGGAGCCCATTCTAGGGCCTGACGACGACAAAGTGTAAGCAGAGAAAAACAGGGGAAGATGAGATTTGAATAACGGCGAACGCTGACCGGGCGTGCGTCTGCAGGGTGTCCAGGAATGAAGGCGGCAGAAGCTAAATGCAGCGAGATTTTGAGTGCGCCGAGCAATTCGTGGAATCGCGAAAAAAGTTGGTGAACTCACAATCTCGCGCGCGTGGCGAGCATATGAGAGCATCATTACTTCATTTTGGAGTCGCTTTGGCCCACACGAGTCCCTGAATGGAGTCGTTCCTTGAACAACGTCATATTTGGATGTCGTCATTTTGACTCCATCATGGCCTCTGCAGCCTTGACAATGAGACGAAGATAGGGTTGTAAACGGAGGTCCTCAACTCGCGTCAAAAAAATCCCTGTTTTTGTTTTTTCAACGATAAAAGTGAAAAGTCACCCCTAAACTGCACTTTCTCCATTTCAAGAAAAAGAAAATCACATAATTTAAAAAATTAATTTAATTATAATAATTATATTTAAAAATAAAAAATAAATTAAAATGTCATATATTAATTAATATAAATATATATTAATTATTTTTTGTTAATATAAATTGTGAAGGATGATTTAAAAAATATATAATAAATATTTATTGAAATATGTAATTTAATTTATAAAAAAATAAAAATCAAAAGTGATAATTTTTTAACAATAAAATATAGATGGAGTATGTTACGAAATATTGAGTATTTTAAATTTATTTTTAATATAATATTTTTTTAATTTTTAAAATCGTAACCCCTACATTTAATTAACTTACCATTATTTAACTAAAAAATTATAGAAAATGATCTCCAAATTACAAAATAGGATCAATAAAATTTTCTTGACCCCCTTTTTTGTAATCTTTTTGTCTTTGCCTATAATTTGAGTCTTTTGTTAAAATTTTTTATCTTTTTATAATTTTTAAAAAATTTTATGGTGTGTTTGGATCAATGAAGATTTAGATTTGAATCAAATCCCTCATTTGGATACATAAAAAATTATGAATTTCAAATTATAATTTTAAATTTTCTCTAAACTTTATTCATTTAAAATTCTACTCACTTCAAACATATTGGACCCATTTATTTAAGATTTAAAAAAAAGTAATTTTCAAATAGTTTAAAGATTTTATAAAAAGAGATTTATTTTGTGGAGATTTTATACAACAATAAAAAAAGTAATTATTAGTTGGTTATTTTTAAATTTTATGATATATTCCTTAATTTTTATTTTATAAAAATGATTTATTATATTATTTTAAAATGTTATAATATATTTACATATCCCACCTTTTTAAAACACTCTCTCTTATATATCTCATTAGATTATTTTCAAAAACTACTCAAAATAATTTTTTAAAATAATCAAAAATTTTTCTTCCATTAAAAAATGTAAAGCATTTGTTGAGAAGTTGGATGTTAAAAAAATATAAGACATTTTTAATCTTTTGATGTGTAATTATTTTTTTTTCAAAAGTGTCTTTATTGATAAATGAGTTTATATTTATTAAGCATTTAATAGGGATAAATATGAAAAGATAATGTTAGTTTAAAAACAATAACTACTTTAATGAGTTAAAATTTGATTAAAATTACTTTATATTTTTTAACGGGAGGTATAATTTTTTTATTCTAATTATTTTCAAAACTTTAAACAAATGTAATAAAAACTCATAAAATAGCTTTTAAAAAAAATGAGTGATTTCTTCTTGAAATAAGCTAAAACAAACCGACTCATTGTTCCCTTCGTGTTTTCACTATTAATATATTATGACTTTCCTATTTCTTCTCATATCTTTTCACTTCTTATCGATTAAAAAATAAAAATAAACTAATCATTTTAAATTTCTTATATTCATTTCGAATTTCAATTCATCTCTTTTTATCATTTGAAAATTTTTAAACCAGCCAAAAAAAAATTTTAAATGTATTGATTTCAAACATGAGAAAATCTAAAATCCAAATACAAATTCATCAATTCAAATACTATCTAATATTATTTTTTAGTTAACCAACTATCAGAGTTAACTTTTATTAATATTTAATGATAAGAGTTGGATTGCATTATTTTCAAAAATTGAAGGGGAGCATTATAATAAAAATAAATTTAGGATCCCGAATATTCTTGAACACATAGTTTAAAAGTTAATTTATTGTTCTGCCTTTTTTTAAGCCTAGTTTAAAATGAATAAATGATCGAGTTTAGAACTAGGTTCAAAAGCTCAAATAATATTTTAAGGAATAGTAAAAATTTTTGTCTTTCGATTATCAATTTGGTCCTTTATATTTAATTTTTATCAATTGAGTTTATTATATTTTTTTAAATTATCATGTGTGTCCTTTAAATTTTAAAATATAAAATGACTCCTAAAATAATTTAATGTGTAAAATATAGTAATAACTGAACATGTATAGTAGATAAATAAGAATAAAATAACTTTCAAAGTAATTTAATTTTGATCAATATAATCTCTTACATTGTGTTTTGTTTTCTTTTTTCTTTTTAAAATTTAGAGTTTATTTTTTGCTACCTATGAATGATTATACTTATTTTTATTAATTTACATTGCTGCCATCAATATTATGTTATCCGTGTCAACAAATTATAATAGTATAATTTTATTTTTAAATGTTAAGCATCAAATTGATAATCAAAATAAATTTAAAAAAGTAAATTGATAAAAATTAAACTCAAGAAACTAAATTGATATATGAAACAAAATTAATAAAAAAAGTTACATTATCTCTATTTTTAATGTTACATTTATATTATTATAAAAAAAGAATATTGAAATGTTTGTGCAAATTTAAACTTATGTCTGAATTCAATTAAATCGAATGAGCAAATCATGTCAATGTGATAGGAAAATCAATTACGAAACATTCTTACATTTTTAAGTATTTCCATATTCTATAAACAATATATCTCCAATATTTAATTTTGTAAAATAATTAATATCTCAAACTATTTAAACATTTATTTGTCGTTGAAATTTCTCAAACACATAAATATACATAAAATTCAAAATTGTACGTTTAAATCTTCTGAGAATTTTTTATTGGTATGGGTAATTGTTTAGTGTATTCCACTGTAGTAGCATTTTCCATTGCATTCCAGACTTTAGGTTTTTTAGTACGTTTGAAAATTGAAAAAAGAAACAAATACTGGTTTAAATAAATAGCTCAGTTGTATTGTAACACCTAAACTCTTTCCCCTCTAGTTTTATTTGTAAAATAAAGAGGCGGATTTTTTTTTTTACAAGGAGAAATGATAAAAAAAATCTCCTTAAAATATACAAATAATAATAAAAACTCACAAAATATAATAATTCTTCTCCAAGTCCCATGGGACCTTTCTAATATAAAATTCTGTCTTGAAATAACTATAATATCTTCAATTTAAAATAAAAAGAAATGGATTGGCAGTTACAAAAGTTTGCAACGCAAAACCGTTATTCACGATTCCATTTTGGTCACTGTATGATTAAAATAGTCACTACTTAAATTAAAATCATCCATAATATTTACAATAATTAGACTTTAGTGATTAACAAAATTTGCAAGGGAAGTTATAATTACCTATTTTATTTTAGTCATTATCAAAAAAAAGTAATTATTATTTAAATCAAAATAATCATTGATATATACAACACTTTGACTTCAATGATTAAAAAAATTACAAAGCAAAACTTGTCACATGCTATCCCATTTAATTATTGTCGAAAAAAAGTAATCATTATTTAAATTAAAATAGTCACTAATATTTTAAATTGGGATCATTATAGTCATTTTATAAAAGATATTATAATGTTAGTGTTTGTAAAAAGACAACAAATTAAGGTGTGGTGTCACGAGACATGCCAGAGACATAGGGTCTCAAGAGAATAGAAGAACTTGACTTTTAATCAAACACGGGGAACTCAGGCTCCCTTACCACAGTTCACCAGCATGTGAAATGAGAAGTGAAGAACATTAATGTAGATGCCAAAAAATAGAGATGCATTAATTAAAGAAAAAGGATGGAAAGCTATGCCAACCATACAATAAAAAATAAAGACTAAAGCTACATAATAAAAAAAAAGTAACAAAGACAAAGTTTGAGATTGGTAGTTTGTTGATGATAATCCTTGTTGAGAGAGAGCTTATCTATTTATAGATGATCCTGGCTTGGTGCTCAAGCCCCATGATCGTCAGTTTCCTTGAATTTAGGAAGCACTTCCTCCATCATGTTCACTCATCATAGGTGATGGTTTTGACTTAATGGCTAAGACTTCATAAATATTCTTTTTTTCATATAATTATTTTAAAGTCAATTAAGTTAAGTTGTGTTAGAGCCTCCATGTTCACAATTTAGGTGCAAACAATGCTCCTCATATACAAACTGACCAGAGTCTTCATAAGCCAATTTTCTATGGATATATCTTGAAGGACCGGCTCATTCTTATTCTGATTAATGGTTGATCTAGTACTTTCTTAAAAGACACCCTTGTGATTGAGGATTAAAGACCATGTGGTTTAGTTAAGGATCAAGTTTCTCAAGGTTTAGGACCTTAAGAGCTGGTTTTAGAATTGACCTTTCGAGTTTTTAGACTTTAAGGACTAATTTTGTAAAACCTAGCTGTTACGAAGCCCCTATAGATAGAGTCTTTTAGGAGAAAGCTCTTGTAAAAAGGGCCCTTGTAAAACTTGCCTTTCTGACTTTGGCCCCTGCGATATCAGCCCTTATGGCTACGGCCCCTGTGGTTGTGGCCCTTATGACTTTGACCCCTCTAATCCTAACCCTTGTGCTTGTGGCCCCTATGGTATTGGCGCCTTGGTTGCAGCCCCTATGACTTCAGCCCTTGTGACTTCAACCCCTTTGGTGTTGGCTCCAATAGCTTCAGCCCCGATGACTTTAGCCCTTATGGCTCCAGCCTCTCTAGCATTGGCCTTAATGGCTTCGGCCCTTATAGCTCCTACCCCTCTAGTACTAGCCCCAATGGCTTTGGCCCCAATGACTTCAGCCCTTGTGGCACTAACCCCTCTGGTGCTGGCCCCGATGGCTTTGACTCAGATAATGCCAGCCCCAATAACTTTGGCCCTTGTGGCTTCGACCTTCTAGTACTAGCCCCAATGGCTCTGGCTCTTATGGCCGAACGGGCCTACTATTGAATTAGACCTGCCATTTATCTTTTAAGGGATGTTATAGCGGTCATTGTTATTGATCTTTTAGTCGAAAAGCACTTTGGGAGACTGCCCCCTTAGTCTATCTATTCTCTAAAGGTGCGAGCCAATCGGAGCTTGCTCCTGTAACGATTTAGACAACATAGCAGAGATGTT